ACACACACACACACACACACACACACAAAAACCACCTCCATCACCAAAAAAGTTAGGCAAAAACTTCTGAAGTTCAGACATGGTAGATGCAGGGCTGTAGGCCAGCAAGGAATAACATTCCTTAAAGTTATCTCTTGGATAACAATGAGCCTATCAATCATCTGTTCCAGGAAACCTAAGGAAAACACATGACCTCACCCATCTGCTGGGCTTCTGTGTTAGTGTGCACTACCTGTTATTTGCTTCTTGGTCTCCAAGTCTCCCGTTTGCTTTAGCACCTGCAGCAGCCGGGGAACCCCGTTGAGTTCAGCCACCTCCACCTTGTTGTCATTGTCCTCAAACACCAAGTTCCTCAAGGCCCCACACACGGCTCGCTGAACATCTTCATTCTGAACCTTCAGCAGCTGCAGCAGCTTGGGTATGCCACGGAGCTGGTAGACCTGCACAAGTAGATGCACATTTCCAAGATTTACGTGTGTTTGTGTGTGTGTGTGTGTACTGGGGCTTGAACTCAGAGTCTTGCACGTTTACTTGGTTTTTCACTCTACCACTTGAGCTGCATGCTTCACTTTGGCTTTTTGGTTGTTAATTGGAGATAAAGAGTCACACAGACTTTCCTGCCCAGGCTGGCTTTGAACCACGATCTCCTGATCTCAGCCTCCTGAGTAGCTGGGATTACAGGTGTGAGCTACAGGCACCTGTCTTTATAACTTTCTCTTTCTGCTGATGCCTTCCCTGCCAAGTTTTATTTTATTAAGTATTTATGTGATTTTTTTTATGCCTGTACTGGGACTTGAACTCAAGGCCTGGGAAGCTGTCCCTTAGCCTTCCTGAGCCACAGCTCCATTTTAGCTTGTTTGGTGGTGAATTAGAGAGAAGAGTCCCAGGAATTTTCTAGCCTGGAATAGCTTCCAACTGCAATTTAGCCTGAGACCTCAGCTTCTGGAATAGCTAGGATTACTGGCATGAGCCATACGCACCTGGTTTATAACTTTTTCTTTTGGTGACAGCTTTCCTCTGCGCACTTTTTAATAAGTGAGTGAAGAGGACTTCAGGTGGTACAGGAAAGCAAAGGCTGTGTGTGGCACAGGAGCCTTGTGGTCACAGCCTTCCTGGTCTGCTTGTTTCTCCACTTTCTCTTCAGGCAAAGCCTTCCTTACCCTGCACCAGGCAGCTCAAATGCCACCTTCTTCGTGAAGTGTCACTCCTCTCCTCTCCTCTCCTCTCCCTCCCCTGAGATTGAATCTCTCAGTAAATTGTTCTAACCTTTCAGGAAGGGAAGTGGTCACGTGTGCCAATATTTTGAACCTAAGTACTTATGGTAACTTTCATCAGAAACTATTTGCAGTAGAGACAGGCTCACAGACACAAATAGTAACTACATTATCTATCATGATAAAAATGAGGAACCATACATGATAACAAAGGGGAGGAAAGCTGATGGCTGCCGAAGACCCACGTGTTAAGACAGAGTTTGAATGAACAGACAGCTAGACATTTTCTTACTCACACAATTCCCACATCATTCATGGGAATTGTGTAAGGTTAGCAGCCACATGGAGACTAGTTTCTCAACACATGGCACTATCTAGTGTAACTATCAAAGTATCACCATTAGCTGGGTACTGGAAGCTCATACCTGTAACCCTAGCTGCTCAGGAGCCTGAGATCTGAAGATTGCAATTCAAAGCCAGCCTGGGCAGGAAAGTCCATGAGACTCTTATCTCCAATTAATCACAGAAAAATTCAAAAGTGGCACTGTTGTTCAAGTAGTAGAGACCTAGCCTTGAGAAAAAGGAGTTTGGGGACAGCACCCAGGCCCAGAGTTCAAACCCAGAACTAGCCCCATACCCCTCCAAAAAAACCCACTTCTTTCCCTTCTTCCTCCCTTCATTCGTTCCTCTTGCTTCTTTCCTTCCTTTCTCTTCTTTTCCTAGGATTATAGGTAAGAGCCACCAACACCTGGCTAATTTCTTTTTTTTTTAGCAAGCAAATCCATTTATAGTGTGAATATAATTTTAATTATTAAGTCATCTTTCATTTTTAGGTCATATTTTTTTTCTGGGCTGGTAATGGGGCTTGAACTCGGAGCCTCTCATATTTGCTTGGCTTTTTTGCTCTACCACCGAAGATTCAGTTCTACTTCCAGCTTTTTGCTGGTTAGTTGAACATAAGAGTCTCTTGCCTTTGTCTACCTGGCTTAACTCTGGACCACAATTCTCAGATATGAATAGCTCGGATTATAACAGAGGGCCAGTGTCTCCTGGCTCTGAACACCTTTTTGGACTGTGATTTCCTCCTTGCCCCAAATATATCACTTTTTAAAACAAATATACAAATATACAATGACTTATGGGTGCCATTTCTAGGGGTCTGTCCTATAGGAACATTAGTAGAAGTATCAAAGATGTACAAAGCTAGACATTAAACAATGACTGCAGCATAGTAATGAAATAGTTTAATGAAAGAAATTATAAAACATGGTTATATTTAAATGCAATTTTAAAAACAGAAGCCAAGCCCCAGTGGCTCAGGTCTGTAATCCTAACTAGTAAGGAAGTTGAGATCTGTGTATCATGGTTCAAAGTCAGCCTGGGCTGGGAAGTCTATGAGACTAATCTCTAAATAACCACCAAAAAGTCAGATGTGGAGCTGTCACTCAGATGGTAGAGTGCTAGCCTTGAGATAAAAAAGGTTCAGGGATAGCACCCAAGTGCTCCGTTCAAGCCCCATAACAGCACCCCTTTCCCCCAAATAGAGAAAACTAAAGGCGAACCCTAACTCAGGAAAAATCGGGAAGTACACAGACTCTCACCAATTGCCTTGGGGGAGGATGAGAAGATAAGCCAAGGCTTGTGTAGTGACTTATTTTCTTAGTTTCTGAACTTCAGGAAATACTTTGTATAATGACTTTATTTCCTTTTTATTTTGAAATGCATTATATTATTTTTTAGTATTGGGATTTGAACTTGGGATTTTGTGCTTATGTACTAGTGCTCTTAGACTACATGGCCCATGACTACAGTCCTACTTTTTGCTAGTTATTTTGGTTTAGGAGTCTCATGGACTTTTCTACCCAAGCTGGCATCGAACAGTGATCCTCTGGCTCCCAGCCTCTCACTCAGCTGGGATGACAGGTGTTACATCCTCCAGTACCCAGCCTATCTCCTTTTAAATGAAAACTATTGCAATGAAGATTTTGAAAAATGTAAGTAAATGACTGGTTTTGGGGTGCCATTTCGATGTAACATGGTGGGTGGTGAATAGACTAACGGAGATACGCACCCTTTTCCGAGCTTCAGATTTCTGGAAGCATTCATGCTGTATGAAGGTTGCAGCTGCAGAAATCCTGGCCAGGGTTGTGTGGTCAGCATCGAGCATGCTCACTGCCCGCTCCAGTGTCATCTCCAAGTCGGCATTTCTAGACAGGCAGTCACAGGATCAGTGGGCTTCCGAATCTGGCCCTCTGGCCTACCAACCTACAGAAGTGACTCAGCAATACTGAGAATCATGTAGAACATTTGCACCTTGGTTTTTCATCAGCCAAAGAAAACAGCGATCAGATATTATGGGGACTTAGCTGGGCACTGGTGGCTCAGGCCTATAAATTCGAGCTATTCAGGAGGCTGAGCTCCAAGGATCTCTTTACCAAGCCAGGCTGGAAAGTCCAGGAGACACTAATCTAATTAACCACCAAAAGGTGGATGCAGAGGTATGGCTCAAGTAAGAGAGTTCCAGCCTTGAGCACAAAAGCCAAGCAAGAACATAATGTTGAGTTCAAACCTCAGCATTAGCACCAAGAAAAAGTTCAGGGGTACATTGTATGCATGTATGGAAGTGTCATGTGATTCCCCCTTTTGTACAACTAATAAACGCAAATTTAAAATCTTTTAACCAGGCATTGGTGACTCACACTTGTAATCCTAACTACTTAAGAGAGACTCAGATTTAAGCATCACAGTTTGAAGCTAGCCCGGGCAAGAAAGTCTGTGACGTTCTTATTAACCACCAAAAAAAGAAAAAAGAGGCTAGGAATGTGGCTTAGTGGTAGAATGCTTGCCTAGCATGCATAAGGCCCTGCATTTGATTCCTTCATACTACATAAATAAAAAATAAATAAAATTAATTTAAAAAAGAAAAAAGATGGGCTGGGAAGGTGACTCAGTGGTAGAGTGCTTGCCTTGCATGAAAGAGGACCTGGGTTTGATTTCTCAGCACCACATAAACACAAAAAGCTGGAAATGGTGTTGTGGCTCAAGTGGTAGAGCGCTAGCTTTGAGCTGAAGAGCTGAGGGACAGCGCCCAGGCCCAGAGTTCAGGCCCCATGACCGACAAAGAAAGAAGAAATAGAGAGAGAGAAAGAGAGAGAGAGAGAGAGAAAAGAAAAGAAAACCAAAAAAAGGCCAGGAGTAAAGTTCTGGATCTGGTGGCATAGAGCGCTGGGGCTCTGAGTGTAAGCCCCAGGATTGGCACCACCAAAGAGTAAAAAATAAAAAATAAGATTAAAAAAAAACCTTTAAAAGTGTTGAGATTTTTCTCACTTTAGAATCTGTAATTTCTCCTGAAAACAAATTTGAAATATATAGTTTAAAATACATGTATATAAACAGCAAAAGCCAGAAAAAAAAAAAACTGGCTTGTTTTGTTAAAATAAGTCCTGAAAGTCCTGCTTCTATGACAGACACATTTAGAAAGGGAAGAATTAAAATTAAGTGCAAGTATAGGTCTCTGTTTCTGTCTCTCTGTCTCTCTATCTCTCTCTCTCTCCTTCTTTCAAGACTCTTATCTCTAATTAACCACCTAAAGGCTGTGGCTCAAGTGACAGAGTGCAAGCCTTAAACAAAAATGCTAAGAGACAGAACCCAGTCTCTGATTTCAAGCTCCAGGACTAGCATGGGTGTGCACAGAGACACACACACACACACAAACACACACACACAGAGTAAGCTATAAGTCTTTAACTTCTGTTTCTTGCATAGAGTAGGAAATATTTCATTTTTTGTATTTATTCCTACTTTAATTTTGTTATACTAAAAGAAATCCTTGCTAAAACTTTTACCTCATGAGACCTTCCTTTCTGTGAGACAACTTGAAATGCTTTACAAGAGTGAATTGCAAGGAAAGCCCTTATTCATTCTCTGGTGGCAGACACTGGTAAGCCTAAGCCAGCATTTGAATCTTACAAGGAAGCTAGCTACATGGTAAGCAGGGCGAATGAGACCACAAAGATGAAATTATTATTATGATAGCCTGCTAACCAAATATCCTGCCAACTAAATTTCCTGTATCATTTCCTACCTCAGATATGGAAAAGACTATTTGGTTCCTTTTTCTAGGTAGGGTCAATATCACAAGTTCAGCATGAAGAAGACAGACCATTACCCATCTGTACTGCTTTTAATATTAACAGGGACCAAAGACATTTGGGAAAGAAATGAGGCAGAACATATAGGTGAAAAAAACAGGGAAATTATATTATTATTTTTACAAAATATCAAAAGGGAAGACTTGTGTGTGTGTGTGTGTGTGTGTGTGTGTGTGTGTGCGCGAGAGAGAGAGTGCTGGTCCTGAGGCTTAAACTCAGGCCTAGGCAATGTCCCTAGACTATTTTGCTCATGGCTAGTACTCTACCACTTGAGCCACAGCATGACTTTGGCTTTTTCTGCTTATGTGGTGCTGAGGAATTGAACCCAGGGCCTCATGCATGCAAGGCAAGCACTCTACCACTGAACCACCTTCCCAGCCCCCCTGAGCTTCATTTTGCTGAAGGCAAGCATTCTACCACTTGAGCCACAGCTCCACTTTCAGCTCTTTTGGTAATTTAGTAGAGATAAGAGTTTCAGATTTTTCTGCTTGGGCTAACTTCTCCTAGCTACTCAGGAGGCTGAGATCTGAGGATCACAGTTCAAAGCCAACCCTAGCAGGAAAGTCTGTGAGATTCTTATCTCCAATTAACTACCAGAAAGACTCAAAGTGCTAGAGTGCTAGCTTTGAGCAAAAGGAGCTCTGGGACAGCACCCAGGCCCTGAGGTCAAGCCCAATTACTGACAAAAACAAGACGAAAACAAAACAAAAAACCCCCGAAGTGGAGCTTTAGGAGCAACACACACACACACACACACACACACACACACACACACACACACACACACACACACACACACGGAGAGAGGGAGAGAGAGAATGAAAGGCATGTTTGGTGAAAGGAAGTCTTAAATATTATTTATGTTTTGGGTAGGGTTCACCTGTCTTACCTCGGCAAACTGTGGCCAAAGGATTAGAAGTTATCAAACTGATAAGACCTTGAGTATTTCCCTAGCTTAAAAAGTGTAGTAGCTACAGATAAGAACCACCATTTTGAGTCTTTCACCTCCCATTTCTTGCATGGGGGCAGAAAACTTTTCTCTTTCTCTCTACTTTAACCCTATTATACGAAAATAAATGCTTGCTTAAAAACAAAGGAGGCTATCATATGAAAACTAGGATCTAAGTCTTTTTTTTCTCTAGTATTGAGGCTTGAACTCTGAGCCTCCTGCTTGCTATCCTTGCTTGAGTCACACTTCCTACTTTTTTTTTTTTTTGTCAGTCATGGGGCTTGAACTCTGGGCCTGGGCACTGTCCCTCAGCTCTTCAGCTCAAGGCGAGCGCTCTACCACTTGAGCTACAGCGCCACTTCCGGTTTTCTGGTGGTTTATTGGAGATAGGAGTCTCACGGTCTCTCCTGCCCGGGCTGGCTTTGAACCGAGATCCTCAGATCTCAGCCTCCTGAGTAGCTAGGATTACAGGCGTGAGCCACCAGCGCCCGGCACACTTCCTACTTTTTACTGGAAAATTGGAAATGGAAGTCTTAAGAGTCTTCTGGCTTGGCTGTCTTTGAACTGTGATACTCCAGATCTCAGCCTCCGGAGTAGATAAGAGGTGTTAGCTACTGGCACCCTGGTAAATAAATTGGATACATTTTGTGTGTGTGTATATGATGGAGGGGAGACATGGGACTTGAACTCAGGGCTCGGGCTCGGTCTCTGAGCTTTTTCTCTCAAGGCTAACACTCTACCAATTTGAGCCACAGCACCACATCAGGTTTTCTGGAAGTTAACTGGAGATAAAGAGTCTCATGGATTTTCCTGTCCAGACTATCTTCGAACTGTGATCATGAGCTCTCAGCCATTTGAGTAGCCAGTATTAATTACAGGCATGATCTATTGGTGCCAAGCTCATATGCTTTTTAAAAGAGATGGAAATACTTTACATACATGCACTTGGATGAGTTTTCGAAGAAATCAGAACCTAAAAGTCCTCAATCTCAATAGCAACATGAAGTCTTTTGCAGACAAGCAGTTTGGACATTTTAACTAATGAAGCATCATTCACAACCTCAGAATATCCTTGTGCCAGTACTGGGGCTTGAACTCAGGGTCTCATGCTCTTTCTTAGCTTTTTTCAAAGCTGGTACTCTACCACTTGAGACACCCTTCCACTTTCAACCTTTTGCTGGTTATCTGGAGATAAAAGTCTCTCTCAAGACTTTTCTCCCTGGGCTGGCTTCAAATGGATCCTCAGATCTTAGCTTCCTGAGTAGCTAGGATGACAGGGTAAGCCACCGGAACACAGCCACACCAGGCTTTTAATCTTTCTCTAAAAACTGCCATCCTCTTTATTTTTTTTAAACAAGCTTGAGCTTCTATCCAATTTGTACCCCTCCTTCATGGCTCTTTTGGATACCCTCATTTGTGGAAGGTTTTTTCTGTTTCTTTGTACCAGCTGGAGCTATTTCTTTTCTCCTTTATTTTGCCATACACACTTCTGTCCCATATCTTTACTCTTTCTTTCTTTCTATAGGAAGAAAGATTTTCTCTTCAGAAATCAGAGAGTTCCTATCTGTGATATCTAGTCTCTAGAATTTGGGGGATTGCCAAATGAGATTCCTTACAGTAAATTTTGTTGTGCTGGTGTTTGAAATCAGGACATTAAGTTTGTTAATTAGGTGATCTACCACTGAGCCAGGCCTTCAGATCTTTACCATTTTAGATTTCTTGACATCAAGCATTCCTCTGCGCTTCTTCGAAATATGCTGAAGCATTATAATAAAATTTACCCTGCCAGACACCAGTAGATCATTTCTATAATCCTAGCTACTTAAAAGGTTGAAATGATCTACTTTTGAAGCCACCCTGGGTAGAAAAGTCCATGAAACTCTTATCTAAAGCCAGAAGTGGAGCTGTGACTCAAGTAGAGCACTAACCTTGAGTGGAAAAAACTCAGAGATAGCAGCTAGGCCCTGAGTTCAAGCCCCAGTACCAGCATAAGAACCGGGAGTAAGCATTCTGGCTTTTATTTCTCGAAGTAATTTAAACAATGTATTTGCCATGATAGGCTTATGCCTATCATCCTTGCTACTCAGGAGGCTGAGATCTGAAGGTCTCCATTCCAAGGCAGCCCAAGCTAAACTCCATGAGACTCATCTCCAACAAACTACAAAAAGCCAGAAATAGAGCCATAGCTCAAGTGGTAGAGCACTAGCCTTGAACTAAAGAAGCTTTATGGACAGTACACAGGTCCTAAGTTCCAGCCTCAGGACCAGCACATACACAAAAAAATATGCATATGCCTTCTCTACTTCTCAGTGTAGTGAGCAATGTACTCTTGTTGAGAGCAGGTTTTCACAAATGGGAGAGTGATCCCTCTGGCTCACATCTAACCCACAACAGATGGCTAAATGTCACATTCCCCACCAAGCTGCCATGTGTGCAGGTAGCCTGGCCCCTGTCTCTGAGGTAAACGGGCTGATCTGTCAGCTGAGCAGCTGCCTTTGGTCACTTCTGTCAACCTCTTATCACTAGAAGTGCTGTCCCTTCAAGCATCAGCAGCCAGCTTGGCTGTCACTGCTGCCAGGACAGAATGTGCTGGCATTCACCAAACCAAGGAGTGGCAGATTCGAGGGGGGGTGGTAGGGAGGCTCACTCACCCGAGCTGGGAGTCACTGACAGTGCTCCTCTCCACGTGCATGCTCCCGCTGCCCGCAGCTGCTACCTGGCCCACGGTCAAGGGCACCAACCTGGACCCCAGGTCCCCGGCCAGGCTGGGCCCAGCCTCTCTCAGGGTGCGGCTGCTATGGAAGGAGCTCTGATGCCAGGAGGATCTGGCAGCCCTGGTTTGTGTGCCAGGCTGCAGGGACCCCAATGGCCTGCCCTGCCCAGCCATGGGCACTGCGCTCAGGTAGTTTTCCTTCTCCAAGAGGTTGCCCATGCTGTGGCTAGTGCCAGGCCTGTGCACAGGAACGCCATCGAAGACAGCATCACTGACCGAGCCGTAGTAGGGCTGCCTGTGGTACGTTTCATAGTGGTAGTGGCGTTGTCGGCTGGTGCCCCCTGACTGGCTGAACCCCACGATATCAGAGCGTGCATAGCGGGGTGTTAGCAGTGTAGAACGCCTGCTGTCCTGGTGGCGAAGCACTGGTGCCCGACCTCGGCTGAACTGGATCTCACTGTGTGCATAAGGATGGCGCTCGGGGCTGCTGTCAGGGGACACCTCCAGCCTCCGCAGAGGCTGCCTCAGGGACCGGTCCTCCACTGACCTCTGCGAGCTGTACTGGGCTGTGCCTCGCGCCCAGCCACCTCCTCCGTAAGTGGCCATCATGCCAGACTGAAAGACAGGAAGATAATGGAAATGATGCACAAGTCTGAGTCTGTCTTTGGAAAGACCATTTGTCAAGCACAGGGGTTTGAACTCAGGCTTTTTGCACTTGCCAGGAAGGGGTTCTACCACCTACCCCATGAGTCTACTACTATTTGCTTTCTATTATTATTGTTGTTGTTATTGTTATTATGTGTATATATGTGTATGTGCACGTGTGTACTGGTTTTGGGGCTTAAATTCTGGGCCTAAGGGCTGTCCCTGAGCTTTTTGCCTCAAGGCTAGAATTCTACCATTTGAACCACACTCCACTTCTGCTTTTTTGAGTCTTATTTTTTTTTTGTTTTTTTTTTGGGGTCCGGTCATGGGCCTGAACTCTGGGCCTGGGTGCTGTCCCTCAGCTC